TTCTTGTTGGGTGGCACCTGTGGAGGCTGTAGCAGCATCGCCTGTAGTAGTTCCTGTCGTGGTGGGTGAGGTCGTCGCCTGCGGCGGGGAAGATCTGCTCCGCGTTGTCGAGGAATACGTGGGGCTTATCCTCCCAGAGGGAGTCGGGGTCCGACCTTGGGACGAGGTCTCTGCAGTATTGGCCGAGGGAGTCACCCTGTGCGTGGAAGGAGAACTGGAAGGGGAGCATGCTGTTGTACCAGCGGGCGAAACTCCTGTTCCCTGGGCATGGTTTCCCGAAGGCGATGAGCTCGAATCCCGGGTGCCTGGGGACGAAGAGAGCGAGGAGCTGTGCGAGGACTGCTGCGAACTCCCATCCCGTGAGGATGAGTGTCTGGTCCCTGTCGAGCGTGCCCATGTATCGGAGGAGGTCCTTGAATGCCTTTGTGGGGAGGATCGCGATGAGCTCTCGGATGGGCGCCTGCAATGCCTTTGCGTCCTGGGGCGCGTTTGCGAGGATCTCTGGTGGCTTGGGCTCCTGCGTGGGGTCCTGTTTTGGCCTGTGTCAGCGATTTGTTGCCTGGGGATGCGGAGTTTTTTTACCTGTCTGACGGTCGCGAGGGAGAAGTCCAAGGGAGTGGGGTTGAACTCGAGGGCGATGACGGATGCGCCGGAGGGCAGGCGGTATGCGCGAGCCCTTGAGTTTGGGAATGTCCACTGTTTCTTCTTGATGCCGCGGAGCAATGGGGCCGAGTGTATGGTGCCCTCCTCGAGGGCGGCGAGTCCTGCGACTCCGATCAAGCTCTTGGGGAGCATCGTGGGGGGAGAACGGGGGGGTTTTGGGTGATTTTATGCTGTGGGCTGTTTTCTTTTTTTTTATGGGGGTGGGGTTATTTTGTGGTCTCGTTGGGGGGTGATTGTTCGAGATCTTTTGGTGTTGAAGGACCGGTGCTATGCGATCTCAGCCATGAACTTCCTGGGTACGGGTGGTTCGATGCGCCTCCTGCGGTGCAATGTGGGGGGGTGGGTTGTGGTACCCACCATGGGGTTTCCTAGCATGAGACTTTTGTACCACCGGGAACAACCCCTTCTTTTTTTTTTGTTTTGCACCAAGCGCACGTGCTGGCGCTCAGAAAAAAAAACGGGAACAACCCCTTCTTTTTTTTTGTTTTGCACCAAGCGCACGTGCACTTGCGCTTCAAAAAAAAAATACTTAGTTACCCGAGATTGGGGTGGCCACAGTGCGAACGGGGGTACTTCAAGGCCCGTTGTCGCAGGATATGGTTATCGGTTAACGCGGCCAAGGGTGTGTAGTAAAACCCCTGTGGTAAACTTTGATCTCACCAATAAAGAGGCCTCGTGAGGGGTTTGGTTTAGCCGAGATGAACGAAAGGCGCCTGAAGGATGTCGTTGATGGTGCATTGATGCACACCGTGTTGAGTGACAACGGGCTCTCGTTGGAGAGGATCAGGGGTTGCGACTGGCACGGGGTCGAAGAAGTCATCGAAGACCTGCGGCGATTGGGCTTCCGAGAGCCCGGCGACTTTGAGGCCTTGTTTGAGAAGAAGGACGAGCTGCTTGGGCATATGAAGGTTGCTCCTCATGTTTTGAGCGGTGTCTGGGGCTGAAGATGGTTGGCAGCACTTCTCGATTGAGAACGCCCTTGAAGTTGAGCTCAGTGACCAGCTCGAGAACCACCTGAGGCCTTTCATGAGCTGCGCCTGTCTCGTTGCTGAGATGCAGCTGAATGTCCTCGAGAAGGCCTTTGCCAACGTCGCCGACGAGGGGGTTGCATACCGGCTGGTCGGGTTCTTCGATGTGATGCGATCCGTTGACCACGGTTTTTTTCTTTGACCTGTGTCCCAGGACTGGAAGGAGTGCCTGTTGGAGTGCAATCACACCTTCCAGGAGATCGGCCTGGAGAGCACCTATCAGCACGGGGAGAGGGCGATGATGGAGGATTTTTACCAGCGGGATCTCTTCTGCTTTACGCTCATGCAGGCAACCCAACCCCCACGATCTGCCGTCTTTTTTGTTTTTTTGACCGTTCGCCCCATGCAGGACAAGGTCTATGCCATCGTCTCCGAGGCCCTGTCCCCCTTCATCGTCTCGAGACCCCTGTACAGGGGATACGAGGAGCAGGGGTACGAGTACACCGTTCTGATGAGGCCGCCTGGCGAGTTGCCCGGAGCCTCGGCCGAGCTGTTCGGGCAGGTGTACAGGGACGCGAAGCGGCGCGTCGAGGAGGCGAAGGAGTCCATCTGCCAGCGCGTATCGATGCTGGACCATCCGCGGGATGAGCTGGTCACCAGGTTTGAGTGCGACATCCTGTTCCAACTTGACATTGGGCTCCCTCTGCCCCTGGGGCATGATCCCGGCCTCGCTGTGAACGGCCTGGGTGTGGAGACTGTGATCGACAGGGTGAACACTGGGCAGTACGCGGGGGATGCGTGCCCGATGGACGCGGATGAGGATGATGATGATGAGGATTAGTTAGGATGAGGGCCCTGCGAGTATAAGTAAAAACCCCTAATTTCTCAGACACCATGCTGGGAGCAGGCCTCGGCGCCGGCCTCTACCTCACCCAGTCCTTCTATGTTCCCCCGAGATACACCCGATACATCCAGCCGCTCGCCTTGGCGGCGGGGGGGGCGTACAAGAGCCAGCCCACGGGGGACAGCGGGCAGCTGCTCATGCGCAAGGGCTCTGAGAAGTTGAAGGAACACAGGGAGCTCACCCAGAGGAACGAGGCCCTGCTTGAGAGGCACCAGCAGCTCCTCGAGAGGAACCAGCAACCCCTCGCCGAGAACGAGTCCCTGAAATCGCATCAAGAGGATTACGTCGCACTGCAGCGTGAACACGAAACCCTCCAAGAAAGGCTCTCCTCAATACAATCAGGTTACGACAGGCTCATCCTCGACGACGACAAGCTCAAGAGCAAGGACTCGCATATCAAGGGCGAGAACACTCACCTCATCGCCAAGAACAGATCCATGAAGGAACAAAATCGCCGACTCAGGGATGAAATCGTCTCCTGCAAGAGGCTCAATCAAACGCTCAGGAAGACCATCGCCACCCTTGAAGAACAAATCTCCGAGCTCGAATCCATCCAGAGTCAACGGGCCACAAGGATCGATGTTCTCCACGACCAAGTGTACAGGACGGAGAAGAAGGACGGCATGACCAACCGGCTGAGAAACTACTACACGCCCGGGAACGCGCATACTTTGATCGGTGGGAGAGATATCGCTTCACGCATGACACCCCGCGTGGTCAGGAGGATGAAAAGCGATGGGATTGTATCCCAGGCCTAGTTTTTCTCTGGGTCTCATGGCAGGCGATGGCAGGTGCCACTCCTTGCATCCCTCACTGAGTCGAGCAGTGTTTCCTGTTACCGCCATCCACGTTGGTTCCGTAATCGATCCTGTGGTAGATGTCGTTGATGGCTTGGTTGGCGCTCTGGCAATTTCGCTCGATGGTGTCGATCTTCCGGCGGAGGGATTTGTTGCACTCACACAGCTCCCTCATCATCGCCATGCACGCCTCCCTCTCGCGCTGCGTCTCTTCGGCTTCGTTGTTGGCGGCACGGCCCCGGTGATAGGATTCGGACGGCTTGCGGGGCTTTATCGTGCGATCGTCGAAGCTCACCGTCCGCGTCAGGGATGCGGTGGACGACGGTGTCCTCATGATAGATGTGGACGGGGACGCGTTGCTGTGCTGTCCGCTGGATGCCGACGGGGGCGTGTATGACGGTGTCCTGATTATGGGGGACACGGACGCGTTGCTGTGCTGTCCGCTGGATGCCGACGGGGGCGTGTATGACGGCGTCCTGATTATGGGGGACACGGACGCGTTGCTGTGCTGTCCGCTGGATGCCGACGGGGGCGTGTATGACGGCGTCCTGATTATGGGGGACACGGATGCGTTGCTGTGCTGTCCGCTGGATGCCGTCCTCAGTATGGGGGACACGGGTGCGTTGCTGTGCTGTCCGCTGGATGCCGACCTGAGTATGGGGGACACGGATGCGTTGCTGTGCTGGGCACGCGGCTCTTGTCCATGGTACAGCTGGATGGGGGGGAGCGATGGGTTGTGGCGACGCCTTGACCTTGGGGGGCCCTCAAGGCACGTTGGCGGCGGCATGTTGCTCTTGGATGACATCAATACTTTACTACAAACGGTAAACTACATATACGACGAATTTGCTACAGTATCGCATAGAATATGGGGCATGTTGCTCTTGTCCATGGTACAGCTGGATGGGGGGGAGCGATGGGTTGTGTCGACGCCTTGACCTTGGGGGGCCCTCAAGGCACGTTTGGCGGCGGCATGTTGCTCTTGGATGACATCAATATTTTACTACGAACGGTCAAAATTGCTACAGTATCGCATAGAATATGGGGCATGTTGCTCTTGTCCATGGTACAGCTGGATGGGGGGGAGCGATGGGTTGTGTCGACGCCTTGACCTTGGGGGGCCCTCAAGGCACGTTTGGCGGCGGCATGTTGCTCTTGGATGACATCAATATTTTACTACGAACGGTCAAAATTGCTACAGTATCGAATAGAATATGGGGCATGTTGCTCTTGGATGACATCCCTTGCCGCCCGAACACTACTGGGGTGGTGAGCTTCGACCGCGCCTGCACTCCTTGCATTGCGATCGCTGCCGCCCGTGCTGGCATATGCTACCGCCCCCGCAGTCCCTGCACCTCGAGCGCAGCCTCCCGTGGTCGCATATGCTACCGCCCCCGCAGTCCCTGCATCCTGACCGGCGCCTCCCGTGCTCGCAGATGCTGCTGCCCCCGCATTCCTTGCACTGCGTCTGCCGCCTCCCGTGCCCGCAGATGCCGCTGCCCCCGCAGTCCCTGCATCGGGACCACTGCCTCCCGTGGTCGCATATGCCACCGCCCCCGCAGTCCCTGCATCCTGACCGTCGCCTCCCGTGCTCGCAGATGCTGCTGCCCCCGCATTCCTTGCACTGGTATCGGCGCCTCCCGTGGTCGCATATGCCGACGCCGGCGCATCCCCTGCACTTCGACCGCTGCCTCCCGTGGTCGCATATGCCGCCTCCCCCGCATTCCTTGCACCTCGAGCGGAGCCTCCCGTGCTGACATATGCCGCCTCCCCCGCAGTCCCTGCATCCTGAGCGCAGCCTCCCGTGGACGCAGATGCTACCTCCCCCGCAGTCCCTGCACCTCGAGCGCTGCCTCCCGTGCTCGCATACGCCGCCTCCCCCGCAGTCCCTGCACTGCGATCGCTGCCTCCCGTGCTGACATATGCCGCCTCCCCCGCAGTCCCTGCAGCCTGAGCGCAGCTTCCCGTGGACGCATATGCTACCTCCCCCGCAGTCCCTGCACCTCGATCGCTGCCTCCCGTGCTCGCATACGCCGCCTCCCCCGCAGTCCTTGCACTGCGATCGCTGCCTCCCGTGCTGACATAAGCCGCCTCCCCCGCAGTCCCTGCAGCCTGAGCGCAGCCTCCCGTGGACGCATATGCTACCTCCCCCGCAGTCCCTGCACCTCGAGCGCTGCCTCCAGTGCTCGCATACGCTGCCGCCCCCGCAGTCCTTGCACTGCGATCGCTGCCTCCCGTGCTCACACCTGCTCGCCCTGTAGCATCCCTTCGTTTGACATCTCGATGGCGCACTCCCATGAATGCAGACTTTCCTTCTCTTTGATCTCATCTCTTGCTGGGATGAAAACTCCTCAAGGTCGGGGGGGAAGTCAGACATGCGGCGCGTGACGCTTGGTGGTCGGCTTCAAGCGCTTGGTGGTGGTTTATATAGATCCCACCCCTGTGGTAAAAACTGTGACGCTTTATCCATCAACCGAACGCTTATCCTTTTTTTTTAAAAAACACCGAAGTATAGCACGTGCGCTTTTACTCCAAAAAAATGCAAGGTTACATGTCGAAGAGGTTCAACCATGTGTTGACGGCGTACAGGGGGTCATTCTTTGCGGCATCCAGCTCCTGCAGCTCTTTCTTGGTTCTCGCAAGGATATCAGCGGCCTCATGATTGAACCGGGAGTTGGAGGAAGGATTCTGGTACAGGTCCCTCTCGAGATCACTGATGGTCTGGATCTTCTCCGATATCTCCGAGTCTAGGTGGAGCTCCCTCTCGAGCCGATGGGCGGACTTTTCGATGTAGTTTGTCATGTCTTGCTCCTTGCGAATATCAATGCGAATATAAGACACAGCACAAAACAAAAAAAAATCACCCACAAATCCGATCGAATGACACGACCCAACGCCCCAACTGCGCTAGCCTCCCCATCACCCTGCCATGCAACGGACGGGTTGCCACGGCCGAGCATGTTCATCTACAACATCCCGCTGTCCCCGAGGGGTGGTTCGATTGTCCGCAACAAAACCGGCTGAGTTCAGCGGACCGGTGCGTTTTTTAAGGTCAATAATTATTTTTTTCAAAAAAAACAAAAAATTTTTTTGAATAGAAATAAAAATGACACGAATCGAAATTCGGCAAGGAACCATGGGCTACAGCTGGGTGACCGTCGTCATCGTCCTATTCATCTGGATATCGTCATGCATGACGCTTGTCTATCTAGTCAAGCGTGCCATGATCACTCACGGCCTGCACTTGCGTCGGGGCGTCCAAGTCGCGCAAGTGGAAGACCACCAGGAACCGACGGCCCCACCGCTCGATGCCCAGGAGGATACTGGGTTCATCGTCGGCATCGTGTCGGAGTGTGCGTATGTGCCGGACTGTGTGGGACGGAGTGTCAAGCACGAGACCATGCCAGCGTGTGGCCAGTTTTCCCGTTTGCAATCAATACATGTTTAGTTAGGCGCGCAAAACCTATCCCGGAGTCGATGTCTCATCGCCCGACACCGAGAAATTGTCGACCCCACGCGTGATACGTTCTACGTCCTCGATGTGATCGATCTCATTCTGCAACCTCTGCACCTTGACCTCGAGCCTCTTCTCATTCTGAGTCGACACACTCAACTTATCCGCGAGCCTCTGCATGTAACCACTTTGCTCCTCCAGATCGTCATTGGCGCGCTTGAGCCTGTCCCTCATCTTTCCCATCTCCTTTTCATGCCTGGCTTTCTCCCCCTGCATTTTTGCATCCCACACGCTGTTGGCACTATCCATATCCGCCTTGTGCATGCTTTCAAGTTCGGTCTTATGCTGCACCATGAGCTGCATTGTATTCTCGAGCTCCCGTATCCTGGCGTCGCGATCGCGGAGCAGCCTTGCGCACTGCGCGCCCATCGCGATTGCTGCGGCGCCCATCCCCCGGCCACGACTGGGGCAACCATCATTTGCATCCTCCCCGCGGTGCGGTTGTCGATCATCGTTGCGGTGCGGTTGTTGATCATCGCCCTCCCCCTCATGCGGTTGTTGATTTTTGTTGATGATCAATATAAACAAAAAAGCTTCAAAAAACAACAACAAAAAACAACAACAAAAAAACAACAAAAAACACGACTCGGGCAGTGAGCCTCGATCGACCGGCGATACAATGGAACGGTTGGTGAAGCTCCACGAATTCGAGCGTATGGTGTTCTGGGACAACTTGAACACATCCAAGCTGACGGAGATCATCGTGTACAACAGCGACGGCCTGTTGTGTGCCTGCGGCGGCTGTGCGGGTGTGGATGCCGTGGGGGCTGTGCCCTGGCCCAGACGCTGAGGAGGATTGCGCTGGAGACCGGCCTTTTGATCCGCTTCGAGAAGGTCCTTTCGGGGCAGGATCTCGACCCGGGGGATGTTGTGATGGATGCTGCGACATCGTGCAGCGTGATGGATGCCGAGGGGTGCCATCTCGTGTGGGTGAACTACGTGAAGCTGGAGCCGAACGGTTTCCCGAGCACTGCTTCGAGGAGGTCCTGGCTCTGCTTTGGAGATCTGCTCCGTGGCCGTGTGTCGCTTGATGACGCCGAGGTCCAGAAGTATCGAAGATTCTTCAAGCGCTGCGCGAGTGTCTTCACCGAGAAGTTCGGGGATGGCGGCGACATGGGGGCTGTGCTGAAGTATTTTCTTGGGAGCGAGTGAAACTCTAACACAACGGTATTTTCTTGGGAGCGAGTGAAACTCTAACAACGGCAATAAACCGCGCGCGTGTTTATTGGTTTCTTTTTCAAGGCTTCTAACTAGTTACCGTTGCCGTTGGAGATATCCGTCTGGGAGAATGCGCTCGTGATGGCCTGGTTGTAGAATGGTGCGTAGATGTCAATGTCCGTTTTGCCAGCGCGCGGATCCTGCGTGCGTTGTGGTAGATCCTTGTATAGGTGGTCTTGGTGACGGAATCCGTGGGGACTGCCGGTGGTTGCGACGACGACGAGACCGCCACGAGCCACCTGTTGTACACCACGCGGTGGGTGATCCTCCATACGTTGTCATCGAACCTCAAGAATGCGGCGAGGTCGCACTGCGGCTGGCCCATGATGGATGCCGCCACCCTCTTCTGCTCGATGCTGAGGGAGTCTTCGAGCGCCGCTATGACGGCGGCGACCTGCCTCTCCCTGCTGAAGTCGCCGGGGAGGTCGCTGTTGAGCGTGCCGGTGATACTGAACCCGTTGATGGCGGTGGCGAATGCCTCGGCCAGTGCGGAGGCCTCCTCCCTGTCTGCGTGCGCGAGCAGCCTTTGCCTTGCCATGCCGATCATGGCGACGGTGATGCGATCCATGCTGAATCCATCCGGAGGTCCCTTAGGCGCTTGACATCCATCGCGAGCAGCGGGGGGGTATCCATCGCGCCGAGGAACGCGCTGCCGGTTGCCATCCTGAGGATGGCGTGCCTTGTGACGGTCAGATAGGCCTCCGCGCTTCCCGCCGCGAGCGCCTGCATCTGGATGTGCCCGGTCTCCACGAGCCCCCTTGCGACCCTCTCCAGCCACGACCTGTTCCTTTGGAGCGCCGTGGGGTCGGCCTTCACCCTTGCCTTGTATGCGCTGCGGAGATAATCGACGCCGTGTGCGGCGATGACCCACGATATCTTCCTCAGGTTCTCGTTTGCGCTGTGCACCCTGGCCAGGTTGAGGCCGTCCAGGATGAGGCACAGCGACCCGCCGATGATGCCCGGGTGCTGCACGGCGGGGGCGGTGTCCATGGATGCGTCGATTTCCCCCCATCTCTTCATGTGCTCCACCTCGCGCTCCTAAGCACAGGATCAAACTAAAGAATCAATCAATCGATCAACTAAAGAATCAATCAATCGATCAATCAATCAACCAACCAACCAATCAATCAACCAACCAACCAACCAATCAATCAACCAACCAACCAATCAATCAATCGATCAATCAATCAATCAATCGATCAATCAATCAATCAATCAATCGATCAATCAATCAATCAATCAATCAATCAATCAATCAATCAATCGATCAATCGATCAATCAATCAATCAATCAATCAATCAATCAATCGATCAATCAATCAATCAATCAATCAATCAATCAATCAATCAATCAATCGATCAATCGATCAATCAATCAATCAATCAATCAATCAATCAATCAATCAATCAATCAATCAATCAATCAATCAATCAATCAATCAATCAATCG